AGTGAAAACACCACTTTTGGGTGAAGTGGCAACTTGTTGTGTTGTTGACTTCAATCGGTGTTGTGACAGGATACATCTGAAAGGGGGCTTGAGTGTCCAGTGAGTGTGAAGGGGCTTGGGAAGTACAAGAACTCGCTTTTGTTTCGTTTCTGTGGCTTTTTGAGGGTGACCCTAAGCGGGCAATACCGCCGTCTGCTACAAATATTATTTTTGTTTGCACCTGTTTTATTTTTTAATTTTTTTTTTTCGTTTTGGTAGGAGCCAAAAATTTGTATATCATCTCTGTGAAGGGAATCAAGGGACGACTGAACAGACTTCCTGCTGCTGGTGTGGGCGACATGGTGATGGCCACAGTTAAGAAAGGCAAACCAGAACTAAGAAAAAAGGGTGAGTAGACCATGGCGGATAGTTGAAGTTCTCCATACATTGGAAAAAAGGATTTTTTTTTTTTGTGGCTGCCAAAACCTCCACGTGACTTCTGTTCATTTGAGAAGCTGTTGATCGGTTGTACAGCTTCTGCTGGTTTTGGTGCTCCCAGACAGCTTTTGACTTTGTGGCCTGTATTGGACTTGGAGGCATGAGCCATGGGCCTGTTTTGGTTTATGGAATATCTTGTCGTTTTCCTAGATATTCTTCTGTAAGCTCAGGTCTCTGCTGTTTAATCTGTGGCTCACCTGGCAGTTCATCAGGCAATAGTAGAGCACCTGTTTTTATGAGGAAAGGTCTCTGGTTCCTTGTATGGTAATCCTGAGTGGGTGTTTGATGTGTGGCTTATTGTTGGAACAGCTGGAAGCAGGCACAGCTTTAAAGGTGTCAAAAAGCGTACCCATCAGGTATGTGGATGAATTAAAAGGGACAAGCCTCAACCTCCCTGGCTGGCTGTCAAACTCTTTCACTGCAGGGTTTCAATGGAGACCTGCCCGGCCTTGAACTCAGATCCACACACCTCAGTTTCCTAGGTGCTGGGTTTAAAAGCACTGTTCTATTCTGTGTTTTTTGTTTTTTTGTTTTTCCAGGGCCATCGTAGCAGTCCCTTGGCACGGCACAAATGTGGGTGTGGGGTCTGCTGGTGTACTGTAGCAACACTTTGCAGTCAGCTTCCACAAACCCCAGTGTACTTGGAGCATGTAGTTAGAAATCTTTGTGCTGGGCAGAGGCAGGTGAATCTCTTGAGTTTGAGGCCAGCCTGGTCTACAGAGCAAGTTCCAGGACAGCCAGGGCTACACAGATGTCCTGTCTCAAAAAACTGGGGAAAGCCAGGCAGTGGTGGTGCAAGATTTTAATCCCAGCACTTGGGGGGCAGAGGCAGGTGGATCGCTGAGTTCGAGGCCAGTTTGTTCTACAGAGTGAGATCCAGGACAGGCTACACAGAGAGACTGTATGGGGGGGGAGCTTTCTTTGTTCCCCAAAGCCTCTTCTCAGAACACTTCCAAGGTCTGGTTGGTGGCTCAGGAGGCTGTCAGAGGAGAGGAGAGCATGTGACCCTTACTTTGGGAAGGATAACAGCTGGATGTACTGTTGTCCCCACCACTGGTGGAGACATCCTTAGTTTCTGCGATCATAGTTGGGAATCTCCAATTGAGACTTAGTATTAGTTCCATATTAGTATTAGTTATCTATTTTTTCCTGATCTGTGGCTTTAACGGTAGTCAGAATCTGTCTTTAGGAATTCAGTTTTAATATTGTACATAATGACAGTGCTTCAACTTGAACATGCAGGAGAGAGGGCTTTTAAACAGGTAGCTTTAAAAGATGAGCTTAGTTCTAATTATACAATAGAAATGGAAGCCAGGCTAGGTGGTTTTTAGACTCTGAAGAGATGGTGGTGGTTCTTTAGATGTGTTGGACAGCAAACAAAGAAGTATGTAGAAACTGACACGTAAAAAGACATTTTTATTTGGTGTAGTTAATATTTGTACGTCAAAATGTGTATACGTTGTAGGGGAAACCCTCTAAGGTTATCGTGAAGGCCACATTCTTCATTAAAGTGCTAGGTTACAGGCATGTACTAACTACTACATCACTCTTGCATGCAAGGCAAATTCTGTCAACTGAGCTCTTGGGCTCTCACTTCTGATCGTGTGGTCCTAGCTTGCTACATAAGAGGGGAAGGTATAGCAGACTGTTTTTAAGTTTATATTTTGGAATTATTCTGGAAAGGAGCGTATATATATCTTTCTGAACAAAAATGGCTGCTTAAAGGGGATGTTTGCATTGACTCTTGTCCTCGCGGCTAGGTGATGGAAACCTAATGCTGATTGGACATTCTGTGGGGGGGTGTAGCTGCTTGCCTTTATGCTTGTTCTAGGGCTTTGACAGGTGATAACTGCTGCCCTGTTTTTCCTCCTTAGTCCATCCAGCGGTGGTAATTCGACAACGAAAGTCGTATCGAAGAAAAGATGGGGTGTTTCTTTATTTTGAAGACAATGCAGGGGTCATAGTAAACAATAAAGGCGAGATGAAAGGTACGGATCACTTCAAACCGTCTTGTACATCTCGGGCTGGGTGACTGACTGCTCCAGGAGCATAGACAAGGAGCCCTCTGTCTGACCTGTCTCCCTTTTCTATGCAGGTTCTGCTATCACAGGTCCAGTCGCAAAGGAATGTGCAGACTTGTGGCCCAGGATTGCATCCAATGCAGGCAGCATTGCATGATTCTCTGGTGTATTTGTAAAATATTCATTAAAAAGTCTTTGCTCCAAGAATTTGTTTTCTTGACACACCTTCACCAGTATCAGCCAGGATTATCTTTAGGGCCTGGAGAGATGGATCAGCTATAAAGAACACAGGCTGTTCTTTCAGAGGACACAGGTTCAATTCTCAGCACCCACATGGTAGCTGTAGCTCCAATTGAGAGGGAAAAAAAAAGCCAACATCCTCTTTCAGGACCCTCTAGCACAAGGTACACACATGGTGTGCAGATAAAATGCAGGCGGAAACACTGGTGCATTCTTCTTGATGACAAATGACCTGTTGTAGGTACACTTCAACAAAAGCAGCCTTTGAAACAAGGTGAAAGTTTAGTGCTTATGTACTTTCACGCTACTAACACCCTGCCAGGGATGTGTACTGCTGTTTTGTCTTGGGTGTTGGGTCCCCTAGAACTGGAGTCACAGTTGTGAGCTGTCATGTGGGTGCTTTTTAAGGACTGGAAAAGTGATATCCACAGACTGATACAGGTATAAAAAGCAGTCTTTTTTATCCCTGCACGGTGGTTTTCTTCTCTAATACCAACAAGCAGGCAGATCTTTGAGTTCAAGACAAGCCTGGCCTATAAAGTAAATTCCAGGCCAGCCAGAACTATATAGTGAGACCCTGTTTCAGACAAAACCAGAACTGCTCCT